AAGACCTCCCCCGACCCCCGCCCTGACCCCCAACCGCGTCTAGCATCCCCCAATCCCCCTGGATCCCGTTCCAGGGGTCCCCTACACAAGAACTGTTTGGCCTAAGACCTACCCCGATCCCCACAATCCCACCCAACTGGATCCTGTTCTTGGAGCCTCCCACCTGGTAACTTCCGGCCGAAAACGAACCCCGCCCCCCACCATGACCCCAACCGCGTCTTGCAGCCCCCCCTCCTGGATCCTGATGGTTGAGCCCCTCACCAGAAAAGATCCTGTTCCTGGAGCCCCCCCGCGCGAACAAAAATACGCCCAAGACCTACACTCATCCCCACCCTGACCCCCCTATCGCGCCTTGCATTTGGAGGCCCCACCCAGCAATCTCCGGCCCAAGACCCAAATCCAACTCCCGCCCTGACCCCCACAACAACGTGTGCCATCCCCACCGCCCCTGGATCCTGTCTGTTGAGCCCCCCACTCGGTAAGTTTCCGCTCAGGACTCCCGACCACCACCCTGACCCCCATTGCGTCTGGCATCCCCGCCTCCCTTGGATCCTGTGCTCTGAGCCCCCACCCAGCAATGATCGTCCCAAAGACTTACCCTGACCCCCACCGCGTCTGACATTTCCCCCCCTGGGTCTTGTTGCTGGGTCCCCCTCAAGCAATAATACTCTGCACGCAGTCTACCCAAACCTCAACTCTCACCCCCCCACGTCTGGCATCCCGCACTTCCCCCCACCGGACAACTCGCGGCCAAGACCTACCCCGACCCCCACCCCCCACCCTGACCGCGTCTAGCGTCCACACCCCTACTTCGGTTATGTTCTTGGAGCCCACCACCAGACATTTCTCGGCCCAAGGCGACCTCCCACGACCCCCACACCGACCCCCACCGCGTCTGGTATCCTCACCCCCCTGGACCCTGTTCGTGGAGCACCCCGCCCGACAATGATCGGCCCAAGACATGCCCCGCTCCCCACCCTGCGCCCCACCGCGTTGGGCATCCACCCCTGGATCATGTTCTTGGAGCCTTACACCCGACAATTTTCGGCCCAAGACCTCGTCCGACCTCTACCCTGACCCCCAACACGCCTGGCACCCCACCCTCCACTCGGCAATGTTCGTCCTTAACTCGCTGGTCGCTCTTAATGACTAGTGTGCACCCCCTCTCCCGCACGACCGGCGACACCTCCGTGACCGACCATGACGACCTCCCACCATCCTTTGCGCAACTACCCGAGACGTACCCAACCCCTTCTAAACGCGAGCCCACTATTCAAAATAACGCTACATACAACAGAACACGTGGCAAGGACACTCTGCTCCGCGGGACAATTGCAGGAGCAGCGAGGTCCCGTCTGGGTCCGCGTGGCCCCCCGGCTCCGCCGTGCCTCCCAAGAGCCCTCGAAAGTGGCGCCAATTGCGCTGTTCGCAGCCAACCAAGGAGCAGCGAGGTCCACTCTGGGTGCGCGCACTTCCCGACTCCGCTCGACTTCCCAGGAGCTAACGACAATGCCGCGAATTGCGCAATTCGCAACCACTCAGAGAGCTGCGAGGACCTGTCTGGGTGCGCATACTCCGCTACTCCGCAGTGCCTCCCAGGAGCGCGCGAAAGTTGCGACAATTGCACAGTTCGCAGCCACCCAAGGAACAGCGAGGTCTCGGCTGGATGCGCGTGGCCCCCGACTCCCCTCGACCTCTCCAGGAGCCCACGAAAGTGGAACTTGGAAGTTCGCAGCCACCCAAGGAGCTGCGCAGCCCCGTTGGGATACGCGTGCTCCCCGACCCCGCCGTGCCCCCCACGACCTCGCCCGACCCCCACCCCGACATCCGACGCGCCTGGCATCCCCGCCCCCCTGGGGACCCTGCTCCCAGAGCGCCTCTCCTGACGGCGTTCTGCCCAAAACCTGCTCCGACCCCCACCCTGACCTCCGCCGCCTCTGGCGCCCCCGCCCACCCTGGATCCTGTTCTTGGAGCCCGCCGCCCGACAATTGTCCGCACAGGACCTGCTCGGACCGCAACCCTGGCCCCCGCCGCGTCCGGCATCCCCACCCCTCCGGGAGTCCGTTCTGGGAGCCCCCCCCCCTCCCGACAAGTTTCGGCCCAAGGCCTACTGCGACACCCACCCTGACCCCCCACCGCGCCTGGCATTCGCACACCTCCTGGGTCCCGCCTTTGGCCCCCCCCCCCCCCAAACGAGGAACGCTCGCGCCTGGCATCCCCCCCCTCTGGATCATGTTCTTGGGGCGCCCCGGCCGACGAATTTCTGCCCGAGGTCTACTTCGACCCCCGACCTGACCTCACCGCGCCTGGCATCCCCACCATCCCCCCTGGATCCTATCCTGGGAGCCCCCCGACTCCCACCCTGACCCCCGCCCGCTTGGCATCCCCACCTCCCTGGACCCTGTTCTTGGAGACCCCCCCCCCCCCCGCCCTGAGATTTTCGGCCCACGACCTGGCACGACCCCCACCCTGACCCCCACCGCGTCCGGCATCCCCACCCCCTTCTGGATCCTGGTCTTGGAGCTCCCCCCCGCGGACCACTCGCGGCTAGGACCTGCCCCGACCCCCGACCCTGACCGCGTCTGGCGTCCACACCCCTCCTTCGGTTCTGCTCTTGGAGCCCACCACCCGACACTTCTCGGCCCAAGGCCGACCCCGACCCCACACCGACCCCCCCACCGCGTGAATCATCCCTACCCCCCTAGATCCTGTTCATGGAGCCCCCGACCCAACAAGTTCGGCCGAAGACTTACCCCGACCCCCATCCTGACCCGATCATGTTCTTGCCCCCCCCCCCCCGCCTTCTACCGAAAACCTGCCCCGACCTCAACTCTGACCTCCGACGCGCCTGGCATCCCCACTCCGCTGGATCCCTACAGAAGTTCCCCTCCAAGGCCGAAACTGCAAATAGTTAAATGTGCAGGTGGTGATCAGGCAACGAGGAAGATCATTAGCACCCCGTACCTTGAGCCTGGCGAGCGAGACAGAGGGCATCCTCGTTGACAGAGCGTGTTTCTGTGGAAGTATGCAGGTCGCTGCGAGGTCAAACACAAATCTGGGATAGCAACCTATGCGTAGCGTGTGTTGCACGAAATAGGAGGCGTCCCTGTTTACCCATCGTCGTGCCAGGCTTATTCCAGGACCTCGAACGCATCAACTCATTATAAGCATATCGCGTGGCATACCCTGGGCACTGGCCCAGCACTGGCAAATGGCGAACTTTGTTATCCCTGTCCATCCTGCTGTCGAAATTCAGCAAATGTCTGAACACCGATGTGCGGCTGCAAACGGGAGGAGCGCACACGGGAATCAGCAGGCTGCATGGCTCGCCCTGGACGCGGCTAGACACCAGATGTAAGCAGGACAGCCCGCAACTAAGTGTCAGCAGTTCCTGGTGCAGCAGGCTCCCGGCTGCTATGATGCGCCACTGCAGCAGAAAACGGTAGGAGTGCCCCCAAGACACGAATTCATGGCGTCCCCGTGCCGCACGAGAGGAGTGCAGTCACGCATTAAAACAGAACCAGACATAGGTCATGATGCGATGGGCTCAAGATACATTCCAAGAATTCTGGAGTATCTAGCGGCCCTCGTTTGCTGAGCCCGTGTGGAACCATGGGAGACACTGGAGATCCTGGAAGAATCTTGGAACGTATCCTTACCATGAGCTCTTGGTCCTCTGATCAAAGAGTGTACAGCTCGCCCTGGACTTGGCTAGACGCCAGATGCCAGCAAGACAGCTCGGAACTAGAAGTGTCAACAGTTCCTGGAGCAGCAGGCTCCACACGGCCATGATGCGCCACTGGAGCAGAAGACACGAATTGATGGGTTCCTCGTGTTGCACGAGGGGAGTACACAAGAGCATTAGAATAGGACAAGAATCGTACCATTTCCACGACTTCTTCTTGGTCCTCTGCTAAATGAGTGCATGCCTCGCTCTGGACTCGGCTAGTTGGTCGCCGGATGCAAGCAGGACAGCGTTGCACTAAGTGTTAGCTTGAGCTGCAGACGGCAATGGCAAGGGTGCTAACAAGAAAAGAAGGCATAGCTTCCCCGTGTTGCACGAGAAAAATGCAAACATGCTTTCACACAAGACAAGCATAATATTATGATACGGTCCGCTGGTGATACGTTCCAAGAATTCTGACGTACCTCGCGGACCTCGGTTGCTGAGCCCGTGTGGAACCGTGGGAGACCCTGGGGATCCTAGAGGCATCTTGGAACGTATCCTTCCCCTGACTGATAAAAGAGTACACGGCTCGCCCTGGACTTGGCCAAATGCCAGATGCCAGCAGGACAGCCCGGCACTAAGGCTCACAACACACGAATACATGGATTCCTCGTGTTGCACGAGAGGAGTACACAAGCGTCTTTAAATAGGAACAGATTTTCATCATTACCATGACTTCTTTGTCCTCTGTCAAAAGAGTGCATGCCTCGCTCTGGACAAGGCTTGTTAGACGCCGAATGAAGCAGTACAGCTCTGCACTAAGTGTCAGCTTGAGCTGCAGACGGCAAGGGCACTCACAAGAAAGGAATGCGTAATTTCCCCGTGTTGCACGAGAGAAAAAGAAAAGGTGCATTCAAACAAGACGAGTATAATATTAGTCTGGTCTGCTGAGGATACGTTCCAAGAATTCTGGCGTACCTCGCGGCCCTCGGTTGCTGAGCCCGTGTGGAACCATGGGAGACCCTGGAGATCATGGACACATCTTGGAACGTATCTCTGATAAGAGAGTGCACGGCTCGCCCTGGACGTGGCTAGACGCAGGACGCCAGCAGGACAGCCTGGCACTAAGTGTCAGCAGTTCCAGGAGCAGCAGGCTCCAGGCTACCACGATGATCCACTGGAACTGCAGACAGTAGGAGAGGCACATCAGAAGTGAATGCATGCTTCGCCAAGGACGCGGCCAGACGCTGGCAAGATAGCTCGGCACTCCAACTCACCCCAGTAGCGGTTCCTACCGGCTCCAAGCCAGGTGGTACGACTGGCCGCGCCAGTTCAGAGCGGGCCCGAACGCTGCGGCGGGGCTGCCGCTGCAACGGGCCTGCGCGCCCCGCGGCGCAACTCCCTGGAGATGGCGCCCGCCCAGCTCTTGGGGCTGCCACCGGCGCCGTCGCCTTCGGTGCCTTCTGCTGCAGGCGTCGCGACCGCCGGTGGCCCGAAGCAGTCGCGTTCGTCGAGGCACGGGCGGCGCTGCCTCACGCCCACCTCCCAGGGCGAGCATGCCGGCCGCTGGACGGCAGCCGCCTTCTGCTCCCAGAACGCCTCGGACCGGAGGCGCCTGAGCGGGGCCACCCTCGACGCTGGCATCGCAGACCTGGGGGCGCCCGCTCCCGAAGCGCAGCGCCTGGAGAAGCGTTGTCTCGAAGAGCGCCGGCTCATCGCCGTCCCTCGGCAGCGCGGTGGCGCCCCAGGTCTCGTTGTGAACGTTGGCGTCCTGGTCCTTGCCGAAAGTCAACAGCTCGGACGTGGGGCATCGCGTGGGGGCCGAGCTCAGCCACTCAGAGTCGGGACGCACCCCTTTGCCTTTCCTCTGCTGGGCGGGGGCCGCTTCACCTTCTCGAAGATATGTGCGCTGGCTGAGCATGGTTGATGGGGCACTGGCCGGTTTGCGACCACACGCTGCTGATTGCGATACCTCTACTGCCCTGCAGGTGGCTTGGGCCTCAATGGCCTCAGACGGACTGACCCCGACGCGACCCCGTTAAGGAGATTACGCTTTGAAAATGAGCCCGGAGCGAACTCGACGAAATGAACCCGGCGCGCCCGCGCAGCTGAAATACACGATGAGTTTCGAATGCCGGCACAGCTTCGAAGGTCGAAGGAAGAGGGAGGCATAGAATGATGCGGTATAAGGATGCGTCTAGTAAAAATTAAGAACACGCAAATATGCATGGTATACGTAAAAAATACACATCTGGAGCCAGGGGAAGAGGGAGAACGGAACACAGTCAGAAAGCGATCTATAAAAAATATGAGAAGAAAGAGAGAGAAAGAGAGAGAGAGAGAGAGAAAAAAACAAAAAGTGAGAAAGAGAAGGAGAGAGCGAGAAAGGAATAATCACCAATACATACAACCCTTCGGTACAGTACGCGGAAGGGCGGAAGGCCGGCAGGCAGTGTGAATGAAACGACGGCGGAGCAGAGGACCCCAGCGAGCCCACAGAGGAGCCCCACACCCCAGAGAGCCCACGCCAAGGGGGCCTCGAGCTCTCCTCTTCGCACCTCGCAAAAGGGCAGCGACAGCCTGCCAGCACGTTCTTTGAACACAGCAACCGTGGTCTCGAGATCCTCGAAAGCAAAGTCTAGCTGGCGGCAAGTCTCGAAATGCACGCTCGAGCAGCACAATGTCAGTCGGCTAGCGCCCATATCCCATACGCATGGTTCGGCGAGTGGGTGAAACAGGGACAGGGCAGGGAGGGCGCGAGTCTCAGACGCGGAGAACCTTCCTGAACAAAAAAGTGGAGACTGATCTGTACTTCTGCAGTTGAGCGGGAGTCAGCTTGCCAATATGTCGCGTGAGACGGCCTTGTTTCATATATCGAAGGACGCTTTTCCTGGCCTCCCAGCGCCCTCGCGACTGGATCTGATCCTCAGGACGGAGGCCGAGCGCAGCATCAGTGGATGGTCCACCATGGCGCGCCATGTGCGCGGAGGGCGCCCAAGACTGCAGGCGTCGAAAGCAGCCTTACAGCGGCGCTCGCACTCCGCCGAGGTCAGGCCGAACTGAGGCGCGGAGCTGCCTCGCTTCGCTGCTTTGAGCTCGGCGAGGAGGCCAGCAACTTGGTCGCGGCCGGCCTTCTTGGAGGCAGCATCCCCGAAGACCACAGTGTCGTCCTGCTCCCCAGTCTTGGCTGCGGGTCGCCGCGAAACCCCACCATCGTCGCCCTCCGAGGACTGTGCTATCATGATGGCGGCAGAGGGGTAGCCGGCGCCGCGCAGGCACGAAGGAGCCACCTTCATGTCGTTCGTGGTGATCTGGCACACCTCGCCCGGTCGCAAGTACCCGTCGAACAGGGTCGTCAGGGCCTGCGCCGCGCTGAGGTCGGCCTTGTCGCCCGTGTCGCACAGCCAGTCGCAGGCAAGGAAAAGAGCTTGCCGTGGAATTGGGTCTCGAGAAACGTCTCCCATGCGCTTCTGCCAGCCGCGCAGCGCGGCCCTGCCGTCGAATCACAGGTGATCCAGGTAGACCTCCAGGCTGGCGTCGACCGCGGCCCCTGCCAGAACGCTGAGTCCGTGCTCGTTGGCGAAGCCCTTGGACTTCTCGCAGGCGCCCTGATAGCGAGTCTGGGTCGCTGGCGGCACCGACTGTGCTCGTAGGTATCCTGCGGGGCGCGGGCCGTCTCCGACTGCCTGTCGCCGCAGCTTGGCGATGGTAGGCCGCGGTTGACGTCTGCGCTGGCCCCCCAGACCTGGGGGGGATCCACGGCCCCCAGCCTGCGGCCCACTGCGTGGCGTTCGCCGCCCACTCTGGCGGCGAGCCAGGAGGGCACGAGACGTCGGCGGCCCTGAGCGGCTGCTGGAGGTCGCGCCGGCAGGCGCGCGCAAGCCCCACTTCCCAGTGACTGGACAGCGCACCGCGGCCATGCGGAGCGGATGGATCAGAGCCCAGTGGCGGCAGAGTGACGGAGGATACTTCCCAGCCAATGTGGTCTTCCATACTGCGGTCCCTGGGGCATGTGATGCGACGCTCGATGATGACGCTGAGCACGACGGGATGACGACTTTACCCTGAAGATGTTCATGGTGATGGCCACCCTCGCAGCGACGTGTCAGCAGCAACAAATCGCCGATGTCGGCGACGATGACTGTAGGCTTGACGTAAGTATAACATGATGATGTTGACAAAGATACTGATGTAAGGGCCCCCGCTTCCAGGTCCGAGAGCAGGCGGGGTTCTCGAGCGACCAACGTACATTATTGCGACAACACAGGCGCAACATAGATACTGTCCGGGTAGCGCATAGCTGACTGGTTCGCGCGTGATTTCCCCGAGAAATGCGAGTAGCCTGACTCCAGAGTGCGCAAGGAGTGCCGACATGAACGCACCAAATCTTCCCGCTGGCAATCCACATTTTCAACACGGAGAAGGCACGGCCAGCCAAGATGTCCATGTGAGGCCCTGGGCCTTTGTCAACCGGAGCGGCGACATGCAACCCTGCGCCGCTGAGGCTGGCCGCGGACAGCCGGCCGCAGCCTGCGCCCCGCTGCTTGGCTCCCCAGACCTGGGGGGGATTCACGGCCCCCAGCCTGCGCCCCACTGCGTGGCGTTCGCCGCCCGCTCTGGCGGCGAGCCAGGAAGCCACGAGACTTCGGCGGCCCTGGGCGGCTGCTGGAGGTCGGGCTGGCAGGCGCGCGCCAGCCCCACTTCCCAGTGACTGGACAGCGCAACGCGGCCATGCTGAGCGGATGCCCCGCGAGGAGCCACTGAGGCAAGGATCAGAGCCCAGTGGCGGCAGAGTGACGGAGGATACTTCCCAGCCAATGCGGTCTTCCATACAGCGGCCCCTGGGGCCTATGATGCGACGCTCGATGATGGCGCTGAGCGCGACGGGATGACGACTTTCCCTTGAAGATGTTCATGGTGATGGCCACCCTCGCAGCGACGTGACAGCAGCAACAAATCGTCGATGTCGGCGACAATGATAGTAGGCTTGACGTAGTAAGCTTGACGTAGGTAAAACCATACGTACAGCAATCGTAGCGAACGGTAACATGATGCTGTTGACACAGATACTGATGCAAGGGCACACGTCCAGGTCCGAGAGCAGGCGGGGTTCTCAAGCGACCGACGTACATTATTGCGACAGCAAGGAGTACCGAAATGAATGTGCCAAATCTTCCTGCTGGCAATCCATCTTTTCAATACGGAGAAGACACGGCCATCCAATACGTCCATGTGAGACCCTCGGTCTTTGTCAACCGGAGCGGCGACATGCAACCCTGCGCTGAGGCTGGCCGCGGACAGCCGGACGCAGGCAGCGAACACCTGCAGCATGGCTCGCTGCGATGCTGGGTGAGGCTGAGGAGGAGCAGGGTTGGGACATGGACTGCGGAGGCCTTCGTTGTGATTTGGAGACAGGAGGGGCAAAACGGCATGTCTCGCGGCGGCAGGCCGCGGGCTGCGCGACCAACACGCGCCAGCCTCATATAGCACTGCTGGCGGGTCAGGCTGGAGGTTCGCCCCTGGGCTTGCGCCAAGCTGCGCTGGCGCTGCCGCGGGCGCCCGAGCTCAACTGCCTCGGGGGCGCCGGCGAGCGTCGCTGCTGAAGAGGCTGAAGGGGGAGCGGCGACCACCTGGCTGCCCTCCAAGATCTTCTCGATGTCGCAGGCATGCCCGCGTCGAACAGCGTCCTGCCAAAGCGAGCCGGCGTCGGCCAGGCGGCTGTCCGCGTCTGCGGGGTTGCGGGCCAGGAGATCTCGCGCGCGAGCTGGTACGCGGCTGCGACGCGGCAGTTCCGCCCCAGGGCCCGCGGCTTGGCGCGGCCCTTCTCAAATCTGAGCGCGGCCCCCACGTTGCCCCCCATCGACAGAACCTTCCTGCCGTAGAAGGCGGGGCCACGGCAGGCGAAGCGCAGCCCAGAAAGCTGGACTTCAGACGCCTGCTCATGGGTGGCGGCGTCGGACTGCCAAGCGCCGCAGACGACCCCGTGCCACCTGCCGGCGGAGAGGAGCTCATCCTCCAGCGGGGGGATGACCCCTGGCCCGCGGCCCAGGCAGACCCAGGCAGCCGTCGGCCTCCAGGGCGCGCCGCTCCTGTTGTGCTCGAGTGGCGGGACCTCGCCCAGGTCGTCTGCGAGACGGCGCGCTGCGGGGGGCCAATCGGCGGCTGTCATGGGGGCCTCGGTGACGTCGCGATGTCCGTGGCTGATGTCGACCTCGCTGAACCTCCAGCGCCCCCTGTAGCGGGCGGCGCGGACGTCCTCGCCGGGCTCCGCGGCCGCGAGGTGCAGCGCGTAGCCCAGCTTGGAAGAGTCCGACGCGAAGGCCACTCGGCTCCACGGTGGTCGGACTGACATAAGAAGACGAGCCCCTTGATGGCGCGGAGTTCGGTCGTCAGGGCAGCTGGGAATCGGCCAGTCCTCGGCCCAAAGTCCATGATGTAGCCGTAGACGTGATCCAATGCAGCCAGGGCGCAACGGGCCAGCATGAAGCGGTTCACCACGTGCCCGGCGACGCGCCGCACTCCGTGGCCAGAAGCCACCCCGCGCCTGATGAGAGACCCCAGCGCCAGGTAGAGGCGCCAGGCCCGCTGAGAACGATGGCGGGCGACGCGCTGGCCGTCCATGAAGTCAACAAAAACCCCGACAGTCTCAGCGACATCAGTAGGCTCGACCACTTCATGGTAGGCGAGGTGGCGATCCCGAAAAGCATCCAGCGCCG